GCCTCTACTCGGCCACGCGCATGGGCAATTTCTTTCGTTAAGAAAACTGTTTTGCTAGAGTGTTAGAATTTAGAATCTAATACTCTAACACACTTGTTAATGCATTCCCTGGAGGAGAGGTAGAGCAATGGTCTAATTGAATTGTTAGGATTAGCAGTAAACACGAAGTCACATCGCGAATCGCGGTGCGTGTTTTACCCGACTTGTTTTGACTGCTGTAGTCTGCTCCAGACGTCACAGGTTTATGTAATTTAATGAGACACTTGACAATTGAATATACATGAATAAAGGCAGCTACAAATGAATCGCACAATTCAAGAGAATCACAAGTATTTATTTTAATTTTCACATGGCTCAGTACGCATTGTTCCGCTCTTGGAAAGATCAGGCTTTCCTATTCCTCCTCTATTTCAGTAAATAATTGAATGGTTTAAGATGTTGTATTTTGAAAAAGCTATGCTCGAAATTTCTGGTTCGACAGTACAATGCGAGATATTGCAAACGGTTTCTTTCTTATATTTTCCCATAATAATAACATAATAATTCGTGAGAATTCTTAACCAAGTACAGCAGCAAGAAATCCCGATTTTTGAGTTTTACGGTTCCAAGTGATTTCATACCGTTCAAAACTAAGAATGTCACTAAGAACTGCGGTAAGTCTAAATTTTTGTGACACGTTTCAAAACTAATTGTTTATGGTAAAATTGCATTACTTCTTACTAATGTGTATATTTCAGATGAAAAATGAAACCCAATGTTTGGCGCTGAGGCAGATTCCAACAAACCCTGTATATCTCGCTGTGTATACGTCCATGGCTGTTGTTGCATATCTGTCAGCAGTATTCACCATTTTGCTAGGAATTCGCTTTTATCAATGTACAACCTTTCATCGAAACGTTCAGGTGATGCCTGTATATATAAGGCTGCTGAGAATTAGTAACTGGTATAATCAAAAAGCTAGTTATTGAAACCGTATTTACGGTGCAAATATCCGTATAACGCGGCAAAATACTTATTGAAAACAACACTGATTGAACTACACACGTCACCTAAGCCACGACGCCACTAACGCCTACTTTTCACTCTTAGATATCCATGCAATCCTAAATACTTTCCATTCCACGTCTTACTGACGTGGTTACCGTTATCTTATTCTTAAGGCAACACTCATAACAAAAGATCAAAGAGGGAACGTTGAGGACTGATTATGTATCGGCCTAATGATAACTCAAAAGAATAAAGTTAGCCTTTTGCACATTTTGCGGCCTGCTTATGTACGC